AATATTTTTCCCAATGAGTAATGAAACAAAGAAGGTTTTCAGTTCAGGGCGAGCTTCTGTCTCCTCAGCGCTGCGTGAATTTCTTTTGGCGTTTCTATGTCCTGCTTGTATCAAAGCAACTTCTGGCTGCTAGAAGAATTTGTTGTAATGCAATGCAGTGAAAATTAAGCCATTGCTGAAATGGGGGCAGAAGATAATGATAGTGAGAAAAAGCCGTGCAATTGCTCGCAGGCCAGTCACCGGCCAGTGAGCTGTTTCCTGGCCCCTGGGTGAGCTAGGATTTGGTGGCGGCCCTTGAGGATTCAGGCTCTTTGCAGAAAAACAAACAGCAACCACAAAACACCCAGCTATCATCTACCCCCAAAAGTAGGATTTGTAGCATTTTTAAATGGCTGGCTTAGAAAATACTGAGTACGTTTTATCTTGCTGTAATTTCCACCCAACAATGCACCCGTCATAGGTTTCTAGTTCATGTCTCAGTTTCTAGAGACCAAATCAAGAAATTCTGAACCAGGGGCCAGCCAGCTAGCTCAGAAGATTAAAGTGCCTGCTTAGGCAGCCTGTAAGCCCAGGGCTTGAGAGGCTGAAAACAGGAGGATCACTATGAGTTCAATCTCTGTAGTAAGACCCTGTAGACACTGTAGACTCTTCACTAAATACATAAGAAAGAAAGTTTGAGAAGAAGAAAAAATTCTGAATCCCAAGATTCAAGATGTTCATGCCGGCCCCGCCCCTGGGGCGCACTGAGAAGGCTGAAAACAGGAGGATCACTACTAGTCTGATCTGTGTAGTGAGACCCTGTAGACCCTGTGCTAAATACACAACAAGATTCAAGATCTTTCTGAAGTTCAAAATAAGTTCTTCCTACAAATACAGGTATGGTACAGTGGCCCACACCCTCGCGGCATTCCTGCAGCAAATGCAAGCAGCCTCTAAGGCACTATTTGTCTCAATGAGGTACAATATGGTCACCAAGGAGAAGCAGTCCCAGGCTCACATCTGTCCTCTCAGTGCTTGCAGCCCACCAGCCTAGTGCACCCTGCTATGCAGTGTCGTCCAAAATGACCTCTTTGTCTAGGTGACCTGTGAGCTGAGTATGCCCAGAACCTAATCTAGGCATGTGTCACCAAGCCCTGGCACATGTGACAGTGTGTTTGGTCTGATCCCCAGCTCTGGGAGCCATGTGGCTGTTGGCCCCCATTACCACCTCGTGGCATGGCCCACGGGCTTCCGGAAGAGGTGCCAGTCACCTCACTGCCATCCTAGGCCCCCTGCCCTCACCACCTCCCTAGACCACATGTGCTCTCTGCTGTCCTAGGCCACCTGCCCTCACTGTCATCCCACTGTGCTTCTGCTTAAAGAAAACCGAAGCTGCTCGGCAGAAGTCCGGCTGAAAGCGCGCCTTCCCAAAAGCTGACGGGGGCTCCTTCACCTCTGAGTTTGGGCGAAGTCCATGCCATGCTAGTTATAACAGTGTAGGTCAAATCCAAGGAAGGATGCGAAGTCCATGCCATGCTAGTTATAACAGTGTAGGTCAAATCCAAGGAAGGATGCTAACTTCTTACCCTGAAACTTCTAACATCTTTCATTGTTGTGATTCTGATCCGTATTTTAAGAAAAATAGTAGAAATTACCCCAGGGTCTCCCCCAGGGCTAGAAAGTCCTTGATACTCTCCCAACGCACTGAGAAATAAACAAAGTCATTGTATGAAACCAATATTTACCACCTGTTTGGGTCAGACTATTAGGTGCTGGGAACAGCTCTGAATAAGATACAACAGCACCAGTCTTCTAGAGCTCTATGGACAAAGGATGCTCAGA